TCTGTAGCGTAGATCCCTAGCCTTGATCCTACTCCCTTGATCCCACTCCTCGTTCCTTATCGCTTCCTTATCGCTACTAACAAACCCGCTTGATCCTACTAGGATCAAGCACATCCTCTCAGGTAGGGTAGGTTACTGTAGCTGTATTTAAAGGCAGTAGAGCTTTTAAAAAGAGCCTTAAGCATATATTAATACTATATAACTATAACAAGCGTTTATCCGCGAAAGCAATGCTAAACTTGCAGTACAACAACTCGCAATTAGGAAAGCTGATTCTGTTCCTATATTCTACAAGCTTAGCCTATACCTTAGTGCCTGCTGAGGAGCGTTTAGAAGTCGATAGCTTCCTGCCTAGCTTAGAGCACATTCCGCTCGTTGAGAGACGTCTTTTGTAGAAAGAGAAAGGATGTCGATATGCTGTTGCGGCGTTGTCTTAGCTACAAAGGCTTACGAGCACAAATGTGCAGAAAACTGTGTACAGTATGAGCCGCCTGATCATGGAGAAGCGATTCATTGATTGTCGGAGATGGTGTGGTTTGTACATCAGTGATGGAGTATATCTAGTAGATCTGCTCGAAACATCCGGCGCGAAGAGGCCAAAAGGTAGATCGAATCAAGTATCGTGTAGATAACCTTCGCACTGACTATCTTGTACTACCTCTGAACTATCATCGTCTACAAACCTAAAGTAGAGCAGTATATTGTACTGCTACGCTTTCTTTGAAGTCATTGCAATCGCTAGAAAGATTCTCTCTCAACCTCGATTATGAAATCATCGCCTTCGCGCGCGATCACCTTGACCTTTACGCCGAACTCAGCATCGAAGACTGCATCAACCTCCCGCAACGGCGCATCATTTAACGCCGCGCCATCCCACTCATTGCCGCATCCTAAAGTCGCGTAGTTCGTGTCGAAAAGTCTAATCGGACCTTGACCACTCCCAATCACAGTGTCTGCCGTATAAACGAGCACTCCGGTCGCGGTATCGCATGCAGCGTAGTCAATGCCTTGAACTGAACGCACTTCCGCCATGACATAGCCTGTCGCATTCACTGGAATAGCAATAGCCTTCACGCCGCCATCGACTTCGATTGGACTCAAACGGTGCGTAGTCGTGCCGGTCTCCATGATGCAATCGACCTGATTCTCCTCGATCCAGTTGAGGCGCCACTTGTGCCATGCGAAGAGATCTGGCGACTGACCCCAGACGACGCCCATCATGTCGAATTCTCCGACCCAAAGACCGTTGCCGCCGGGGCCGTAGGGATACAGATCAGGTAGGCCCATTGTGTGGCCTGTCTCATGATTGACAATCTTCCATTTTCCGTCCGGGTACAGGTCACTTCCAAATGTGATGACACTGCCCGCGCGAAATTCTCGGCCACTTTCGGTGATTACCGGATTGCTGTAGGCCGCAGAGCGATTGATCTCTACGGTACCGTTCGGCGGCGCAATGAACAGTATGTCAATGCTAGCAAAGTCCATGTCGTTACCAACGGCTTTGAGAGCATCGTCGATGTATGTTTTATGTTCCGCAGTGGTGAGGCCCTCCTCATCAGCGAAGCCATAGGACGCGGAGTCACGGGGCATGCGGTAGAACTTGTCCAAGAGAGGTACGATCTCGAAATCGAGCTTTCCGAAAGACATCTGCCGATACAGATCTGCGGGTTGTTCCTTGAGCGGCTCGAACAGCTGCCATGGCTCTTGGCCAAAGTGGTCATCGGGGGAGTCGGTGAAGTCGACGAAGATGAGCCCAGCGCGTAGGCTGCCAACCGAAGGTGCATAGTCCGCAGTCTGCCAGGATGGACGACAGGTTGGTGGCTCAGGATCGCAAGGAGGATTGTCTTGCGATGCCAGTGGGTGGGCAAAGACGGCGCTAAGCAACGCACCCCCAACCATGTACGGATACCACGCTGAATACATGGTGACTTGGAAGTACTTGTGATGATTGCGCAAAGCGATTGTTGTGAGGTTTGTGGCGAAGAAGGGAATTGTAATCGTTGTGGAGGTGACAGTGATAGAGTGATGGAATGATGGAGTAAAAAGTAACTGAGTTTCCACGAACACCCTTTTATATTTTCGTTGCGAAATGAACAAACTTATCGACTATGGTTCCTGATGCACATTTTTGGTGGCGAGATGCGTTCTGCTTACGACTTTCCATCGAGCTGAGTGTAGCTGGATGATGCATGCGGCTGAGGCTGACTGCCAAGCCTTGCGCACACCGACTGATGTCTACGTACCTCCGCTCGTATCTGCACTCGCAAAAGGATTTTCGGCTATGCTTTCCGAAAGACTCCATTGTCGCCCATACAGTCTGACACGAGCTTCGCCGATGTCAGTGTGGCTAACTGAGCTCTGCGATTTCCGTTAGTCTTAAGTCCAAGAATGAAGACTCCACAAAGCTGATGATTGTCCCGCAGATGTTTTTCGAGTTATTCTCACCGCTCGATACTCTATACAAGCGATGTCGATCAGGTCGCTAGCTTATATCCTACAACCTGGTCATCCAAGACATGCCCTTGCATTCAAGTTGTTGATAGCTTCATTCTCACACCCGACGCGAAAAATAACAGCCTGTACGCTAGCGCTAGAGCTTGCGATACCCAATTTGCGCCTACCACTGCTCTCTGATATCCGAGCTGCGAACAGCTCGTATCAGTTGTGCGTTAGAAACACATCTGGAATCCTCTTTGCAACCATCGCACTGACAGCCCTAGCCTTGACACATAGTACCCGGCTGAAGAAGAGTGTCTATCATCCATAAAGGCAATTTAGGGAAGTCGGGCAAAGAAGCTAGAGTTGGGGATGTGGTTGACATTTTCGATGGCAGTGACGTACCATTCGTGATACGAGAGACACGGAGTGATGATGGTTTACGCTGGAAGCTAGTTGGTGAATGCTACTTGTGTGGTTGGATGGATGGGAGCTACTCCGATCACCGAATTGTAGATGACTTAGACGATGGCCTTGCCACGGCAGACACGTAGCCAAACGCGGATTCCTCATACAATGAAACGCTACTCAGCGAGTATTATGTACCCTGCTGAAGCCGACGACAAATCTTCTCCAAGACAGGGGCTCTTAAGTGCAAGCCTTCCACAAATTTTAAGATCGCTTACCTATCTGTCCTAAGCGCAATGTTCTCAAGCATGTGCAGGGTGCGCATTGATCTCTCTTCCGAATCGAGCTGTATGTAGTCTGCTCGCACAGCGTCTGTCCCAGCATATATTCAACTTATCCAATCAAAAGCTCCATCACATTCATGCAGGTGCTTCCGCGGACTTTTCCGTATGTCGGTAGGGATTGTCATCCGCGGCAAAGCCCTCCTGTTCCCCGCGTTCGTGCCCCACCACCGCTTCCTTGACCTCCACTCTTTCTTGTATCTACACAAGATGCAATGCGCGGGGTCGTGCATGTGCATACAGCTTAGCGATTTGCTATCGCGTTTGCTTGATGTGATCTTCGCCCCACGCGACGATAGAACGACATGACTGCTTCCACCTCTTCTTTGCGATTCACACCACAATCACGTTTCCGACACCAGTATCAGATAGTTCCCTCCAAGGACAACAACATGGGCGTGACCCACTCTCCTGAAGTTTCTGCGGTAGATGAGCGCGATGAAGCGCTTGATGGTGCGCAAAGTCGCGAGCGCTTATCGTGGAGGAAGCAGCCCGTCATTGATCTAAAGCCTTCATGGCATCGCGATACGTAGGGACAAACAGCTCAGTTTCTCCCTGAGGTATGCACTGACTGTATACAGGTACATCGGAGCGCTTCTGTTCAACACCTGCACTTTCATCTTGCCAGCCCTCTACGGCACCTTGTCGAAGCTATGGGTTGCCAATATCGACTCCTCAATGGTTGTCACAACCGACACGTATACGTACATCGGCGTAGTAGCAGAAGTCTTGAACGAAGGGTTACCGCGCGCTTCGTATCTCGTCATCGGCGACAAGGCCAGTCGTGGCTTCCGTGAGCGACTGCAGCTCACCCATACCCTCGTGCTCTTCCAGTCACTTCTCGGGCTTATAATGAGCATTGGCTTCGTTGCAGGCGCTTCTACATTTGCAAAAGGTTTCGTCCCTGTCGAAGTGAGAGATGTGAGTGTTACATACGTTCGCCTCTCTGCGTTCTCTGCATTCAGCTCGGCAGTCGAGTATGCGGTCAGCGCTTCAACCCGCGCGCTCGACAAGCCCGATGTTCCACTCATCATAAGCTCGGTCAAGTTCGCAGTCAACATCATTCTCGACTTGATCATCATCTCCAAGTTCCACGTCGGAAGCATCACACCTACGGTAAACATGCAGGCTGGCATCTCACTGGCTTGCAACCTCACTTCTGCGTTTGCGGGACTGGTGTACTTTGTCTACACAACGACCGTGAGCTCCAAATCTCCACTTCATCACGATACATCCAGCCGGAAAACGATCCCGTCGTTACCAGCATTGGTCACACTCGCAAGGCCAGGAGCGATCTTCTTTACTGAATCCGCCATCCGTAATGCGCTATACCTCTGGCTGGTACATGGTATTGTCGGTTTGGCCAGCGATGACGCAACTGCTTGGGGCGTCTTTTCTACTATTCGGTGGGGTCTGATTATGGTACCAGTAATGGCACTCGAAGCCACAACCCTGACCTTTGTTGGCCACTCATGGGGAGCTTTGCGTGCAAGTATCGTGGGTGTCTCACGGTCCGCAAAGTCACAGGTTACACGCCGGCAACTATGGAACGTGATCCGCTGGGCTCTCTACTCCGTCGTCATCGTATTGATGGTTGAGATCCCACTCTGTCTCATCATGTCCTTTGCTGGTGCCGAGCCTTTTGCACGATACCTCTCGGGTTCTGAAGAGGTCGCCCGTATAACCGCTCGCATGTGGCGCACCATCGACTGGTGTTACATTATGTACGGTGTGTCGACACAGCTAGCTGCGATTCTGGTATCGACGCGCCCGACCTGGTATCTCTACCAATCTCTTGCATCGAATATACTGTACGTCTTGCCATGGGCGATCGCATGTCAAGTGGTTGATCTAAATGTAGGAGATGCTTGGACATATCACAGTCTGGTGTTTGGTGGAAGTCTGGTTTTCTCGTTCTTCACCATCATTGTAGTTGATGGAGTTTGGGCGCTTCGGCTATTGAAGGGAAGGATGGGTATCAATAAGACGTAGTGGTGGCGATGATGTATGACACCTAATCCTTTGTAAATTATGTCTTCGCCTAATCGATACTTAGATGAGGCCCTGTTGCGACATTGAATTCTCCGCGATGAGCTGAAAGTCGTAAAAGGAAAGACATGCACTCTTTCAAGCCCGTTGTGATATTGGCCATAAGGATGTGGGAGATATAGATTGGAGGAGCTTCAAGATGTTCGCGGAGCCCCCAAAGATTAGCGTCTTTTAGGCAAGGCTGCCGCGGCTAGCGCCCGCCCTGCGCGCCACAGGGGTGAGCTTAACGATACAAGAAACAGTTCGCACACAGTGTCAATCTCCACGAGATACAATGGGCCAAGGAAAAACGTCTATGCTCTAGCGAATCCCTCTAATCGCGCAATAACTTTCTAATACACATTAACCTCGTTCTACATTTGCGTAATCTTGACCGTTCTCATAATCCCTTTGTGACCCGCTGCACCTGCATCAGTCGGCCCGCTGTCTTTGTCCTGCTCCCATTCCTTGTTCAGTTCGATCGTGCTCCCACTCGGACTCGACCCATCGCCACCGACAACATGAACAGTGTGGTTGTGGTGTTTTGAATCATGAGAGCTGAGCTGAATATCATTTTCGGTATGCCGACTGGCATGTTCCCGGTACCCAGAACGAGACGGGTGGCCCGAATTCCACATGCGCGAGTGTTTGCGAGAGGTGCTATCATGCGTCGACATGTCGCCAAAGACTTGGCGGAGCAAAGGGCGGAGAGTCGCGGCGGCGGAGGTGGCAAGGCCGATTCCGGTCTCGCAGGTGGACCAGATTGCGACGTCGATGGTAGAGTAGAGGAAATCGGGTATGTCGTTAAGACCGTTGATGAACGGAATGCGGACGACTGTTGCAGTAGAGCCGCTAGTGTCGAGTTAGCATGCGATGCAAGCAATACACTAAAGGTGGAAGAAGCTTACATAGCGCAGAAAGCAAGGACGACAGCTACAGTCATCTTCTTCTTCTTGTTCATCTGCAACTTGTGCACGATGAAGATTGGAACGATACTAAACGTCCAATCCGTGGCACAGGACAACGCAGAGTAGCCGTAGAACGAGTTCACGACGACATTAGAGGGGATGCACTGGCCTTTGCCGCCACGGAATTGCTCCCAGAAGAACGAGACAGGCCAGCATTGGAAGGTAAAGATGAAGAAGAAGTACACGCTGTAGAGTTGGATAGCGATCAGGGCGGTCCAAAGAATGATGCGATGTGTTCTGTCAACGGCAATACGCAGCAGGAAGATGCCGATGCTGCACTTGAGGAAGAAGTTCGTAGCAACGTAAGTAGGCTCGCAAGTCCACCACCACTGATTCAGATTGTTAGCCTTGTGGATTATGCTGTAGACGTGGTACTACACACCTTCATGCCTACGGGATACTTTTCGTCTGGGATGAGATATCGTCGCTTGCCGGTTCCATTTTGGATACCCAGCAGCGCGGAGGTACAAAAGACTAAGAAGGATACCAGGGTAAGGACAGAGAAGTAGTCATCGGCTGCGAAGTTCTTCACGATAACCAGCTTGCAGTAGCATCGAAGCAGTACCAGCAGGGTGCAGATACAGATGAAGAAGCCCAAGACGCCGGTGAATTCTCCGGATCGATCTTCTCGCGCCATGGTTGTCAGCAGGATGGTAGTGTTGAAGACGGCCCAACTCGAAATCCATCATGCCGGGGAGACGGCTATGTAGTCTGTCAAACTTTCTGCGTGTCCATTGCCATA